GCCAAATAATATTTGTTTAGAACTGTAAAATCCAAACCACGGTTTGGATGTTGAGGAATAGCCGACTGAGGACCTTAGACACGCGCCTTATCCCGTCGAAATCAAAACAAGTAATCGGGTAAATAGCGGTTCTAAACAAATATTATCACCCGGCTATTCAACCAATGATTGTTCAATCAATTAAATTAACAATTCAAATGTAATCAAAATGCAACAATGTACAACTAAGGGGATCAATAGGAACAAAGTACAAGTATATACATGGAGGGATTTTCACCAACACACAAAACCTTCAAAATGGATCTTACAAGTAGATAGTCATTTAAACCGTCGCATATCAGGGACTCCATGAGTTTTGAAGGTAATGACAGAAGAGCCACCGGCCGATAACTTGAAGGTTCATTGCGTCGACCGCCTTTGAAAATTGGTGTGATGTGAGCCAACTTCCAGTTTTCCGGTAATTTGCCTCGGCTAAGCGAGTGTGAAAACATCACGCTAAGCGGCGTTGCCAGGATTGAGGCTGCCTCCCTCAGTATGGCAGGATGAACCATGTCCGGGACAGGAGAAGTGTCAAGTCTTAAGTGCTGCAATTTCCGGAACACCAAGTCAGCGCTTAGGTCCACTTCGGAAAGTCCTGTGGAGTTGGAGATGAAAGTGTCGTCAATAAAGTTGATGTCAGCCGGTTGAAATGTTTGGGAGTAATGGGCTGCCAGAAGGTTAGCGGCGTCGCCATCGTTGTTGGTCGGGCCGTTAAGACCTAGCAGTTGAGAAACTCCTGTTTTGGCTTGACGAAGAGAGGCTGCATAACGGAATAGGCTTCTAGGGTTAGAGGCGAATTTGTCCATAAGCTTTGTTTGGTACTGAAGCCTGTCTTCTCTTATAGCCTTCGTGCATGTGTTCCTGATATGTTTGTATTGCCTATACGCTCCATCGTTATTAGTTCGTTTGTATTCCGCCCAACAGTGCCGTTTGCGGCTTACGAGGCGAAGGGTACGGTTCTTGATTACTGTAGGTGGCTTGAAGCTTTTGGGAACCGTTTGAGGAACTGAATGGTCTGTAGCACATAAGAGCGTGTGCAGTAAGAAGTCCCAATGACCATCCACATCGATTTGAGGGTGAACATCCCAAACCACCTGTTGTAGATAGTCATGTAGAGCTGGCACATTCAGCCGTTTAAAATTCCAACGCAAATTATTGTTGGGATACCTTAGCTTAGTTTTGATGACAAAACTGAAGGCTATGACGGCATTATCGCTTTTTCCCAGAGGAGCCAGGATTGAGAGGTTGTCGACTAGGAAATACTAGACAATCTTACAGAGCACCATATGGATTCCTCAAGATTGTTAAACTCGAGGTTGTAAACCTGGTGCACCTCCAAGCAAGAGCTTATGTATATGGCTACTCCGCCCCCAATTCCTGTTTTTCTGTCGTTGCGGAACAAAGTCATCCCAGGCAATGCTAACTCTTGGTCCGAGAACTGAGAAGATATCCAGGTTTCAGATATTCTTATCAGATGGGCCTTATTAGAGTTGCTAAGTTCACGTAGTTCATCCAGTTTGTTTGGTAGACTCGCGGCGTTCATATATAAGCAGTTTATGCTTTCAATTTGGAACGCGTGAGCTTCGTCCTGTTTTTCTGTATGAACCTTATGTGAATGGACAGGTAGCCCACCTATGTGAGGTTTGCCGAGGTGGTAGGCCCTGTCCTTTATACGTTTTTTTTATCGTTTAGACAGTCCACAAGTGGAATGGTCAGCTCCAACTTGCCTTTGTTCTTGGTCCTAACTTCGTATGGCCTATCCGGGTGCATGTGGATTCCAGGTGGCAATCGACGTCTATTAGCACGAAATGCTTCCAGAACTGCAGCCGCCATGTGGGAAGATGAGAAGGTTATCTTCATTAGACGGGATCTAAGATCACCGTCCTTTTTGGCTAATCTCGTCACATGCTGAGTCAGTATGTGTTTGAGCCTCAAGGACTGTTTGATGAATTTCCATTCCCTGATGTCAGAATTTGATTGAGTAGGGTCTGCATTTTCCGGTATACCTTGGACAATTATGTTTCTTCCGCGGAAAAACTTCTCGCGAGATTCTTTAGGGACGTTTCGTATGATACTACTCTCAGAGTACGGTATGTCGGGCAGTATTCTTACGTTACCATCTGATTTCAGCAAGTGGCTTGCTAGCAAGACGTCCTCTACGTCGGTAGCATCCTTAAGTGTTACTCGGAGAAGCCTCGGGTGATTTAGATGCTTAGAATCCTTTCCTCGAGTGAACCGGGTGACCGTCAAAGGCTCTATTCTAGGAAGTTCGAGCTTCTTGTTCAATTCACCCCAGAGCATCCTGTCGTTCTTGTCCTGCAGACTGAGAGGAAGATCAGGATTGTCAACGAGGTTCATGATAATGAGAGAATCGTCACGAACTGTTGTTAATTTACCAGGTTTCACGATGGGTTCAGGTTTAGTAACTTGTTGTTTGGAGGTCAGTGTGCGTTTATGAATCATGGGCTCTTTATTGACCGGACGAACAGTCTTGGGGATAGACTGTGCGACTAAATCACCAGTTATTTTCCGTGCAGCAACACTTGGGTTGCTCGGCTTAGGCGGTGATGCCTGGTTCTTTTGGGCTCTCTTAACGTGGGTCGAATCACCTGCAGGGTTTTTGGCAACCACTGTTGTGTTCGGGGACCCTGAGCTGGGAGACCCGAGTTTGCCTAGGGAGTTCAGTACCGTCGACGTAATGATGGTACTGAGCCTCGACACGTCGTCGTTAGTGTTGATGGATGCTCCATCGATGGAATACCTATCGACATCCCTGTTTTTGAGTCCGTTGCACGCTCTTGTTTGTATATCAGTTTTTTTACTATCGTTTTCCAAGTTAACTGACAACTTGTTCCGAAGACCTGTCAGTAAGACAATGATGTTACTCAGCAAGACTACGGAGTCTGTGTTGCACGTGACACACACCCACTTTTGCTCTGACTTGCTGAGTCTGTTGTAAGCAGTTGCTGTCAGATCTGTGCATGGTTCGTGGAACCAACCTTGGCAATTTTCGCACTGCATGCCAGTTGTGACAGCAAAACGGCATCCCGGACGTTTGCATGAGTTTTTCATGACGGTGTTGAAGCAAATTGTTATAGATGCTTGCAAGAGCCTAAGACCTTTAAAAAAAACACTAAAAAGCACACTGAAAACGGACAAAAATCGACAAAACGAGTGATATAAACTGAAACTAGTCTATACATGAAAAACAAAAAAAACCGAATAGTAAGCTGAGGCAAAACCACAGGTAACTATTAAATATAGTGAAACTCAAAAAAAGTGATCTACTAAACGTATAGCTCAGGATAGATTCTTTAGAACTGAAATGGTACTTTTGTTGCGTAAGAACACAGCAAAAGTTTGATAAATGCAAATCACGTTAGGACTAAACTTCCCGATTAAATAGACATATTCTTTATCAAACTCCCAAGCTTTTTGGGATGAAATTAGTGAATCAACGTTCTGAAGAGATATGTATCTGTTTCTTTGGAGTAGAATCTTGGTTATTAGTAAGCGCAACTGGAGATTTTGTTCTGCATTATTTCGGAAGCACTATTTTCATTAGATGGAGCTTACCTACTTACTTACTCCTGCCGCTCCTCGTGAAGGAGCATAGGCCGCTCACCGGCATTCTTCATCCAACCCTGTCCTGAGCAATCCTTTCCAGCTCCTTCCATTTCCTATTGATTCTTTTCATATCTGATTCTATTTCCCGACGTAATGTGTTATTTGACCTTCCTCTTTACCGCTTCTCTTCAGGATTCCAAGTTGGAGCTTGCCTCGTGATGCACTTTGACGATTTGCGTAATGCATGTCCTATCCATTTCCATCATCTTTTCCTAATTTCTTCTTCAGCTGAAGTTGGTTTGTTCTCTCCCACAGAAGGCTTTGCCAATCCTCGCCTTTACATCTGCAAATGAACCTCCTTGTTCATCGATGATGCTTCCCAGGTATGTGAAGGATTCTACATTTCCAGAGTTTCGCCATCAAGAGTGATTGGATTGCTGTTCTCTGTTTTGAATTTGAGGACCTTGGTTTTCCCCTTGTGTATGTTGAGGCCTACTGATGCAGAGACTGCTGCTACACTGGCTGTCTTCATCTGCATCTGTTCGTGTGTACGCGATAGGAGGGTCAGGTCATCTGCGAAGTCCAAATCGTCTAATTGATTCTGAGCTGTCCACTTTATGCTGTGTTTTCCCTCAGATGTCAAGGTCTTCATAATCCGGTCGACCACCAGAAGAAAGAGGAAGGGAGAACGTAGACAGCCTTGTCATACTCCGGTCCTTACTTGGACCTCATCCCGTAGAAAACCAACCCGCTAAAAAATGCTGACAAGAAAAAATAGTTTAAACCATTAGGTGGAGCGACGACGGAATAAAACTTGGAGTAGCGAATCACAACACTATAAGATTTGAAAAATTTATAAAGTCTTTTTCGGAAAAAATAATCAAACTATATAAGTTTCACTCCAAACGAATTCTAAGGATTGGACACAATTTGAGCGCTTTTCAGTGCTCTCTCCTAAAATTATTTACTATTAGGTCATAACACCTAGAAGGTGAAATGAAAAGGATTATTATGCATTTGACGAATCACGTATACACTTGTTTTCATGCTTTGCTACTGTATATGATACGAAACTCTTGATACCATGTCAGTTTATTCTCATATGATAACTGCCTACAGTTTACGATTGCCGAATTCCATGGTCAAACAGAAAATAAGAATACCAGTTTGTCACGCAGTGGTGATGTGATGTGTAGCATTCTTGGTTGTGCACAGCACTCTCAGTCGTCTTTTGTAAATTTCAACTTACATGCCTAGTATCGGTTGGAAGTATGAATCGACAATACGCTAATTTCCAGCCGAGCGTAACCTACAACCAGAGTGAAACTACGTAAACAAATAATTAGAAGTTTCTTGCATAATAACTTCCATCTGCTTGAGTCAACGACCAGTAAATGATAGGGCGTAAGACTATAGATTTATGGTCTCTTCAAACACAAGCACATCAATCTTTTTAATATAATAATAGACAAAATCCAAAAAATGTAGATTTGTCATGATGTGACCATTTAATCTATAAGATCTTACGTCACACCATAGCCCATACTAACTCATCCTACGTGTCAACCAGCGATAGGACGACCGGTACTTCTGAAGAAAACATTTTTACTGTTAAGAGAGTAATATTCTAGATATAAAACAAGATGGTAAATTGTTCATAGTTTTCTCTCTCTGTCAGTGATATTTTTCCTTCAATATGAAGTTATTGAAAATAGAAACACATTTGCCTCATCGCAGAATAAAATTCATATTTAAAATTGATTCTTAAATAGTCATATAATATATAATCATAATGTTTGGAAGACACTTTTGATCAAATATCTGCTACACAATCGTGTCTTTTTTATTCAAAGACCGTGTTATAAGCCATAAAGCAGTACAAATCATACTCCCGTCCATTATACACTCCCTTCGGCCTGCAGTATAACATCTTTCATACCACACAAGTAACACAGGTTAACAAAGGACAACAAAGCTTTTACGAATGGTCCCGAGACTTTATCATAAATTAATCCACCAGGACTGATGATGAGACAGTTGAAGCTAGACCACTATAGAAAACCTGGAAGCACTGAACGGACGTTTCGTCCTGTTGTAGGGCTCAGCAGTGAGCATTCAAAGCCTCGCCTCGCGGGATTTTAACACAAGGCCCAATGATCTCGCGCGAAGGCAATTAACCACTGGACCATTGAGCCGGCATCCAACAGTGTTAATGTCTAACTTCAACTAATCCACGAAATTGAGCGACATATACACCATTGTCATTAGTGAGTTACTATCTCACAACAGACCTGGTTGAACTCCACTAGTTACTGCTTCCCACTAGAACTCCAGGATATACATCTTGATGAAGCCAGTCACTAGTGAGCATAAGTCGATTAGTATCAGAAGGCGTTTTGTGGAGATTTTATTAATTTCAATAGTTGAAATCATGAGTCAATTGAAGCTAGACCACCATGGAAAACATGGAAACACTGAACGGCTGTTTCGTCCCATTGTGGGACTCATCAGCAGTGCGCGTCCACGACCTCGACTCGAGGGATTCCAAGTAGATGATCGACGTACTCAGTAACTTCAGAAGTTGACGTAGACCAGTCATAAGGTATTATTTTGAACTTAGAGAAATAGGAATGCATCCGAAAAATGTTTACGTTTTCATTCAAGGTGATCAGTAGAATCTGCAGTTTAGTATCTTTACGAAACAAAACCGTCATCTGCATGTTCTAAACCGATAAGTGATCTTGGTAAGGAATCAACTCCTGAACAGTTATTTCTAAGAGAATATCTACAACCAAGTCAAGTAAACAGTTACATCATTCAACCCTGATGAACACTTGATGTCAACGATTCCGATGACAATTCTCCATACACTTCTGATTCAACCAGTAGTATTTAAGTAGAGTCTGTACAAGGTTAGTAGTTCTTAAATATCGTAAGGGCTAATTAATGATGACCTATTCCCTCTCGCTGTAGATTAATTGTGGCCTTCTCGATTTTATTAAGAGTCGCGGGCTTTCGACAATGTCCCATTCAAGTTATTCGGTAACATTAAGCAACTACAAGGTATCTAGAGCCAACTTGAGCCGTTTTTTAAGGTATTCTGCGAATCATCCCGATTTTCTGGTCTGAAAATGTATCAATGTCCCATATTTTTCATAAATATCATTAACAACTACCTTTTTAATAACTATCTCCTTGATGAATTGAAATAGTTGTTCGCCTTTTCAGTCTCTTTTGCTTTCGCTGCTCACTGCTACTCACAAGCATTCCGTAGACTTTTGCCAGTCTATGTTTGAGTTGTCTTTGCTCACCATCGTATTTTGAGCATGATGGAATTAATTTCTGAACATCTATCGACTTAGTGAACATTATAGAAATCCAATGATGTTTCATAACCTTTTGGTCCAAGCCGTTGGTGGATGTCGCTGCTGATTCCATAGCTTTTTGGATATTATATCAACCTACATTGAGGCAAACATTACTTTGTCGATTGACCAACTGGTTTAATAGTTGGTACTGAGATAAACCACCACTGAATTAACCACTTCTGTGGATCCAATGTTCATCTTGTTATGCTAATGAGGTATGGCATCTTGGACCGATGTACATATGTGCCTGGTCTTACGTTGTAGCTGACTGACTGACTGGAATATACTCTTGACAGTTTCGCCGTTTATCTGAAATCTTAGGGATCTTGATTCTGTGACGCTTCAATACCCTATAAGACAGGCAAATGAGTTGCCGTTTCCTGGTTACTAACATTGTTGAGAAATATTTGTTCTTGAGGCACTTGCAAAGAAATCTTGTTTAAAAATGGTTTTTACAATCTGGAAACATGGCTCCAGTAGTCCTAGTTAGCTCTGTGCTTAAAAAGCTTTATAGTTTGCGACGTAAATTCATGGGACAAGACGATGTGGGTGGCTTTCAGGGTCGAACTTTTGCAACCCGCTCCTCGTCTCGGAAAGGCAGCGTCGCTACAGAATCTGATTGCCTGAAGAAAAAATATTTTTGCCGCCACACTCCTAGGCAGTCGGCATTACGACTAAGTCCTCGGACAGAGTCCACCACTTTTCATACTAGCACTCTCAAACCGACCTACCTGGCATAATAGATGGTAAAAGAACAAATCCTCCCGCCGATTTAGTTCGATTGGGTCACTGCAATACATCAGCTCTACAATTGCATCAAGACAACAACTGTAGTTATAAGACTATGAACTACCTAAATATTGTAGTAATTAATTTTTTCAGATACCCTGACTGACATATTAATATTTATATTTAATTTTCTACAGGTATCTATGATTCAGTTAATTCTTCCATATCCGAAAACCGTTCCCAGTACTTTGCTGTCGTGGCTATTGCAGGGAAACAGTTCAAAGTAACTAATAACGATTTAATTATGATCAAAACACCGTTCTATGGAACTGACGTTGGTGATCGTGTTCAATTACAGAAGGTCCTACTTTTAGGATCATCAGACTTTACTATTATCGGTCGACCAATTTTACCAGTGCATCAGGTGTATATTGAGGCTGTAGTGGTTGAAAAAACTCTTGAACACCCTAAAGTTTGGTACCAGTTCCATCGTCGTCGTAGACACCACAAACTGCGAGGTAAATTAGTATTTATTTTTCTCACATTCTTTTCAGTATTCCAGGGGAATGTTACTGTCCTTCAGGTTATTGATGTTCGTCCCAATACATTAGCAACTTATTAAATTAATCCTTGAATAAACGCTTACTCGTTAAAAAAACATTTATGCTTTTACATACTTTTAAAAATCTGTTTTCTGCGATTTTTGTTCATTTAAAGTATTTGATAGTGTAAACTACTGCCGTACTCAAAAAAGTATATATTCTCCGAATCATGTCAAAGTTTGTTTCTTTCCCTCTCTCTCTGTCGTTGAAAATGTATTTCCATCATAACAGACTCGAAGGAAAATAGTCTCAAACTTTGATTTCATAATATGGTAAAATGTCTAGCTTAAAACATCAAGAAAAGGCAGAGAGCATGTACTTTATACTTTTCATGGTATTGTAAAGTTTATTACTGTAACGTTAGTCTTGGTACTCTAGGATTCTGACAGCCTTCATCTCAGGTTGAAATGACAACATGTTTCTGATTTTCTCTCCTTTCAAATGAAAGATAATATCCTATGCTTTTAGAAGTGAGTTTCGAGGGTGGTTACTTGACCTTGGTTACCCATCACTCCGTGTATTTCAAGCGACTATTTCAAAGTCAGTCATATATGAAACTGTTTTTATCGGTTTTAATTTCTTCACAAGCTCGTAACACAAACTTAGTGAATATTAAGAATCAAATAATCATAAAAGAAAGCATCACCCTTAAAATTTAACAGTTTATAACAGGTTTTATTGGCTTATAATTTATTTACTGGACAACAGAAGTTAATTAAAAATAAAAGTAAAGTTTACCAAGTATTCACTCATTGTTTGGTCAAATTTTTAATTGCCATATAAATTCATTGGAACATTTGTTGACCTCAAATATTGTGACTTTTTGGAAATACTCGTTTTACTGTATTATATTTAAACATCTATTTGATGCGTGAAAATGCTAAACATTTCTTAATAAATCCAGTAGTATATCATTTATAAAATCCAAAGAAGGGATATCCAACCATGGTTCTTCTATTTGTTAATCGCTTACATGACATTATTATCTCCTCCATCTTGTGACTTCAAGTGTCATCAATTCTCTCGCCTATTATTCGTCTTTTAACTAATACTTTTATTCGAAAACTACCAAAAGTCAACAGAATGAGCTTCCGTTTAGACTGGTTGATAAATATATAAGGATTGATAGTAACTGCCACCTTAATTCCTAATTTTGAATAACAGAACGTTTCAAGTAAAGTTTGCTAAATATTAAACGTATAGTTTCTGAACTTGGTTGGGTAGAAAAAATGTCTGTCGCAACAACCAGATGTTTTTGTCTATATCACTTTGATGGAGATGTGAACCATTAGAGTGTGACTCTGATCTCAAAACATCGTGCCATCTAAGCGATTTGAAGGTCCTGAGTTTAGTTGAACGTGAGTTTACGAATGCACTATATTTAAGCATTCTAAACTGAAACTCGACCTCCGTTCAGCGCTAACTAGTTCTTGAATTCTTTTCAGCTGATTTCAGCCTGCCATTGAAACTATCTTCATAAATAGCCGGAAGTTGGTTTCAATGTCACAAGTTCATTCACTATTTCTTTTCCTCCAAATATCTAATATACATTCTAGTTGTCCTTTTTCCCTTCTAAATCCACAGTATTGTTTTCTTAACGTATCGGCATATGTATTAGTTTCCCATTTGTATTGCAAAGTTTGACAACTTTAACCAACTTGTCTTTGTGGAATGTTATACATTTTTAAGTCAGTGATTTGGACGAATTAAAGAAACAGGTGATTATTTACATGGAATTAATCTTTTGTTAAGTAATAAAATCTATTACGTGATAAACATGATGGTGTATATAAAATTATTTGACGGGTTTACTTGTCCACCAATGTAGTCAAAAATCGTTTCTGAAGAAAATAAATCAGTTAAATATTAAGATTTCAGTAGTTGTGAGGAGTACTTATTTTCTACTTCCAAATAAATCTAAGGGAAGTTAATGCCTTTTTACCCATGGAGATTGACGAAAAGAGAGTTCTGTTTCTAGTAAAGCACGATTTTATTGTTTATTCTTCTGTAATTGCACACAACTGATAATGTGAAATAAAGCAATATATTTTATTATCAAGTTTGCCGCAAAAAGTATCATCATTACCTTCATTGTTTATCGATATATTAGCGAGAGTGCTTGTAATAAAAGAATACTATAACAGTCTCCTGGCCGCAATAATAAAGTTTATTTTTTAGGACGATGTCTTCTATTCATATAAACTCGTTAACGGAATAAATTGCAGTCAATAATAATAATAATAATAATAATAATAATAATAATAATTATTATTATTATTATTATTATTATTATTATTATTATTATTATTATTATTATTGTAAAGCAAAACATTGACAGGCCAGATAAAACATAAACGTTCTACTATTATACGTGGTAATTTGATTTTGCGCCTGATATAAAAGCTCATATGCAATCAGCCACTTGCTTAGAAAATATGAGAGTAAGGGTGGAGCTTTTTGCAGGATAAATGTGCACTCGTTTATATATACCTTTCTTAAAAAAATAAATACGAACTTTCAACTAATGGCATATGTTTTGTTCCTCAGATACGGCAGCCGGCACCTGACCAACAGCTTGCTGTTATCATTTGGCCTGTCTAATTGGCCAAGCGCATCACATATTGAATCACAAATATCTTCAGTAAAAGTTTTTATTCCAAGTGGCTTATGTTAGAAAACGTAATATAGCTAAATAAAAATAAATAACGAAATTACCTCTTCACATTAACATATTCTGATTGGTTTCGTTCCTATTTCCAATGCTGTGTAAATCTTTATGCCAGGAGATTTACTCTCAATCTTGATAAAAGTAAATGTTTATGTTAAGTGTTTTTTATATGTCCGACAAAACTCTCTAATGTCAGGTGTATTCTGTGCAATATTTAGAGATTTTAATATCATAATTTTTGCAATCTTCAATTTATCACGGATATAGTGGAAATATAAAAAATTATACCTGTTCAACTATTTAGTCTATGTTTGATGATGAATTATCACTTTACCGTAAGCTAAGTATAAATGTAGATGGCGTTCATCAACCACGACAGCTCATTTATTTTAGTAAACTCTTCTGTTGATGTTAACGATTCAAAAAACGTCTATTTGACATTCTCTTGTCAGTTAACCACTATCAATAGCATGCGGAATATCATATATTTGTGTGTTGCTAGCATTCTCTTCAGCATAAAAAATATAGGTTATACATCACGTGTAACAACACAGTCTGGCAGGCTATATATTTATGCGACATCCAATTCTTAATGCTCTCTATCAATTGGACTAATTCTTAATTCATGGAGGTTTAAGTATTGCACATTCTAAAGTCAAAAAATAGGAGGAAAATATAGCTTTTATCTAGTAACAATGTCAGTCAAACCAGCATTCCAAGTTTTAATTGGTGACTATTATTAATAATAACATATATATTTCATCAGTGACAGAGGTTCAGGAAAAAAGCTAAAATCCAAACATTCTAACAAATGCAGATGATATCATACAAATTTTCCAAACCTCGTTTAGCGTAATTAGGCGTGCTTCCGCGGTACAGACTGCTATTCGGCCAAACAGATCATGTTTTTCCGTCCTGAATATTGTTAGGGCACAATATGTATTGCCTTCAAGGATTCGGGATATACACCTACCATTAGTGATAGTGTGGATATTTTAAGTAATTATGTTGTGATGTCAGGTCGTGCCATTTTGTAAATGAATTTGACTAGAGATTGGTAGAGTATAAAAATAATCTGTGTGAAAGTATCTACAAAATGTCATCAAGCATCATGAACATAACACAAAATCATTTAATGCAATTATGCAACTCGCCTGAATTACTTTCGCAGTTACATAATGAGGGTTTGAAACAGCCAATTGGCCAATGCGATAAAAATCCAAGAGAATCTGAGTTAAATATGGCATGTTACCAAGTTAGTTATTGGATTCACATAGCATTGCAGGTTAATTCGACGTAAATCCAAAAGTAATTCTAGCCAAATACATCGCATTACCTGAACGAACTTTCTAAACGAAATCTAAGCTTTCAGGAAGTTCAAATTCAGATTAAAATTCTGATATTCGTATTTTCTGTTTAACCATGGAATTCGGCAATCGTGAACTTGTAGGTAGTTGTCATATGAGAAAAAACTGTAGGGGATAGTGTGTGGTTGAAAATAGCTAATTGCCTAAGTGCGAAAACTGACCAACATTGCAATAACATCATACATGTGAGCATTAATCAACTGACTAATAGAATAATGAGTTAAAATAAGTAAAGATCAATCATTAAAGTCACAATGACAAGAGGGTGCGTCTCTTCAGTCGGTCTTACAAATGTAAAATCACTGTCTAAGTCGGTATTAAGTACATTTATTTATCCTACTAGAATAACAGACGCAACCTAATATGGTGGAATCGCTATGATATGACTACCTAATCCATACGATCTTACGTAGAAGTCATTTTATTATTTTCATGCTGACTTGTCTTATGATGACAGTCGGTAGCATACTTTTTATGAACTTATGAAGAACACTTTTCGGCTGGGGATATGATTATATATTTGATATGTAAAGGAAGAGGTGATACATAGTGACTACGCCTGCACGGCCGAGTCATGCTGTCTCGATTGAGTGTTTTGCGCTCACCTCCTATGACCTTCTCCAGATGTTCAACAGATAATGTAAATCTTCCTAACTACTGTTTGTCCGGCTTCAATGATTATGTGGTTCCGCATCAGTCCCACTATACAATTTTTGTAATTACTCGTATATCCGTTACATTTCACTGTACAAAGTCAAATCTTTTCGGTCATTTTTCGAATTTGCCGATATATTTTTTACTTCAAGTTATCATTTGTTTCCACTACATGCATATGACTGGTAAGTTAGAGAATATGGTATTCTTGCAGTCTTTGGAAAAAAAACAAGATAACAAAAACTATTTCAGCTCGAGAATAATATTCATGACAAGGTATCGATTTTATTGTATATTAGAGGACAAAAAATTTTCTTGACTTATAAAATGT